CAACCCTTTCAAAGAACACGGAAAGAAAACATCAAATGTTTGGTTTTGTGATGTTTCTAATTAAACTGGGTAATCACGTGGTGTGAATAAGAGAGCAGTTCCTTGAAGTGTAGTGGTTTCTGCTGACTTGTTGAGCAGGAAAAGCAGACGATATCAGGATAAACTTTAAGAGTGAACTTTTGTGAAAATATGCTTTCTCTCATCATCCATGGATTGGTAAATATGAAAGCTGTTTCCTGAGGTAAAATAGAAAAAAAGCAATATGACTTTTTCTTTAATATCTATATTTTGCATTTAAAAGGTTAACTTGCTATCAGTGCAATACCTTCACTGTACCAATGCAAAAAATACGCAGTTCTGAATGGCAGTAACTAAACATACCAAACATGATACACTGTGCTCAGGATAACTGTATTCCATTTGGCTTGGGAATGGGGTTAGTATCGCTTATAATGACTTACTAATTTTAAATTTTATCACGTCATTGATTTAATAGAAAGAGTTGAAAGAAATTCTGATACTTTTTTTCCCCTGTACTTAGGGGAAAAATGCAAAGCTAGTTCCTTTGTGAAGCTTTCCCATAGGTGTACCGAAATTGATTTAGGTAGGCAGTCTCCACGGGTGGTCAAACTGTTTGTGCAAAGCAAAGACCTCTGGCTAGATTTAAAGAGGCTCTCAAATTGCTGGCACAAAGGTTAATGCACAGACTTGTACAAGCTGGTGGTCTTACGATAAGGTAGGATTCCTGAGGAACTCTTAAGATAAATCTCATTCTGTAATTATTTTCTCTTTGCAATTTCTCTGCTTTTGTTGACATGGAACAATTGTTTGTGGTAAAAGGCTCAGCCAAGTTACAGCCTTCTCTAGTGGGTATCGCTCTTCAGTGGAAGAACTGAGGGTGCTGGGCTCAGGAGCATGGCTGGTATGCTCAGAGAGCTCCTCAGTAACAAGAATAAGAGAGATAAATAAGGTAGAGATGCACCGTGATGCTGTTTGTAGAGAAATGAGTATTGAGAGTGGACATTCAATTATTACAGTTATTCTTTGCTTCAGGGGGAAAAGGAAGGACAAGTATAGGGTTAGGGAAGGTGCTCCGTAGACTAGAACCATCCACGTGGTCCCTGTACCCTAAAGCTCACAAGGCTTATATCAAGTGCAAAGGATATATGGACAGGGGAAACAAGACGGTGGCTGGAAGAGTCAATACATGCAGTAAGACAAGAGAAGTTGTAGCAAAACTCCATAGAACAGTTGCTGATACTTCTCTTTTAAGCTTTTGTAAATTCATCTTGTTAAGAATGTCTGTGATGCTTTTAATTAAGTCTCTGCTAATGACACACTGAAGATGACTTTAATCCTACTTAGTGATTGTTAATAGTGGAGTTCATCTAAAACTTTCTCCTCATCTTTTTATGCTTACAGTCCAGCTTCATCAGGATGATTTGTCTAGTGCTGATATCCCTGTAGGGACAGGATGGCTGAGTAAGAGCCACAGGCAGCCTAACAACTGCTACAAGCCTGCAAAGGCTGCTTGCTAATGAGTGGTGCTACATGCAGTTGTGGAATAAAGACCTAATGAGCCCCCAAAGGAGTTGGACCAGCCACAGTTCTCCTTGGAGCACCTTTTAAACTTTTATTTGGAACAAGCCACGGTATTGCTTAGTAGGGTTTTCAACTGTATTTTGTCATGATTCTTAGCTTCTGAATTGGTTAATTCTCATTTATCTAGAGTTTAATACAGGTGTGCTAGACATACTTGCATTTCTTCCAGTGGGACGTTACCAGTAGTGGCACCATTGCACTCAGTACTGGTACTGTAGCTCACTTTTCCAAAGCCTTGCCATCTCCAAAAGGAAGTTACCTTTGTCTCAAGATTTGCCTGTTCACAAACGGATGTTGTCAGAGTTGAATTAGTGTTATTGAAATGCTGAGATCCACTGAGCAGGCGTGATAGCCTTCGTGATGCTGCTTTTGGTGAGGCACGCTGCTAGGCTCCTTGAGAAGAGCAGTGTGAAAAATACATGTGGGTTTTCATGGGCTGGCTTGGATCTTGTTTATCCCTTAAAATACTCAGATTTGCAAATGTGTTCACTTCCATAAATGATCTGCGTGGAAGATGTATTCCCTTACCTTCCTGTACATCAGACACAGAAATGTAAGGAACGAACTCAGAACTTCGGATGCTGATAGGAGCTCCGGTGAATTTAAATACACACTTGTATTTCTTTTGCCAGCTCTAGCATTGGATAGGTGTGCCTTGAGTTGGTATTTCCATGTACAGTCAGCATTTCTGAGGAGTTCATCTCAGCAGAGACTGATCCCAGGGAACTGGGCTGTCTTATTGAAGCCAAGCGTAGAGATCAGGCAAGTTGCAGAAAGACTGGCTTGATCAATTATGTGCAAACGTAGCACTTCTCTAGTGGTTTTTATTGCATTCCTTTTGCACTTTCAGAAGTGCGACTTTCTTCAACTTAGACTTTTTTCATGCTGTGTGTGGAAAGTACACCATTATGTTTCCAAAGCCAGAGCCCTGCCATCCCAGTGTTGGTTCGTGTCGACCTTGGAATATGAACTGCAAGAGGCAGAGATGTGAAGGATTTAGAGCCCACCATGTGGGTATTCCTTATTGAAACAAAGTATATTGGGTGATTTTTTTCACAGCTAGCAATTGCATTTTGAGGGAAATGAGAAATGGATATTTTCAATTTATTATTTTCCAAAAAAATAGATATGACTACTTGAAATGGCTGGGGCACATTTTACACTAATCAGCGCATCTCATTTTTATGATGCCCTGTGGAGATGACTTTAACTAAAATGTTAATCTCATAATTTATCAAGATGAGATTCTAATATCTGTTTTCCTGTGCAAAGATATGCTGACCTCTAGTGTCAGCACCTCAGTTTATTTTTTTGTTTTGTGGTTTGTAATCAATACTGAAAAATCAGTTCATGACCTTTGCAACTCTCCTGAGTTCCAGGAATTTCTGATCAGTTTAGACTCAGTGACGCTAGAAATTCCTCCAGTTCAGACTGAAGCTTTAATTTGGGCTCATCCAGATCTGAGAAATTCTATTGAATTCTATTTTGACAAAGCTCTTCCTCAGCTTCCTTGGTTCTCCTTGTTCCCTAGTCTATTTCCTAGTCCCATTTTATTATTTCTCTATAATATTATTAATCCTTTTGCTTCGTTGTCCTCTACTTTTTCTTTTCTAATTTTATTCCCAGCCAACCCCTCTTCTTCCTGTAGCTGCAGTAGGTCTGTATCCTGTTTGTGTAGTTTTTTTAATATTGGGTTTAAGCTCCTCCTGCAGGTATCTCCTATCTTGTTCTCTGCACAGACTTCAGCTGTCTGAGCACACAAACTGTTGTAGAGCCTGAACTTGCTCCAGCCCTTTCAGAGCCTGTACCAGGTGCCTTCAGGGCACGTCAAATAAGGGACATGCCTACCTCTGGAAAGCTCTTGGCAAACATGCAGTGCAATTAGAGCCCAGCAGCTTACGCTAGCCTGGTTTTATCATAATATTACAGTGGCATTGTGCAGCAATTATTACTTCTAGTCAACAAAATGCACAGGATCCCTCAGAAGTAATATGCAAAATACTGCGGTGCTGAGGTTTCCTAGTTCCTGATGCTTTGATTTCTTTCAGAACTTAATTCTTAGGATACATAAGGTACATTTTTCTCAGCAGCAGATTTCTGGCCATTTCCTAGACTGTGAGGTAGGCTCCTGCTACACCAGTGCTACAGGGTTTTGGCTTTTATACACGCAAAAAAGGAAACCTGCTTGTGTCAAGCAGCTGCCACTTGAGTAGGATGCAAGCTGGTAGCGATGTATGCACGAGCCAGGGGCTTGCAGGAAGAGAAGAGACAGGTGGCAAAGAGCAGGTCCATTTTTCTCTGGGGAGATCACATTCTTCTGAAGCTGTGGGCTGGGGATATGTCTGAGGGAATCCTCTGGGTGATCTCTCTGCCTGGGGTGCTTAGATTGAAACTCAAACGCTAGATTCCCAAAAATATTAGAAACTTTTAACTCTAATATGAAATAGACTGGAAAAAAAAAGTCCAGACATTTCAGATTGGCACCTCAGAATTAATGGTTGTTGTTTTGCCCTTCATATTTCTGTGCGTTGATCCGTAGACTGCAGTGCCAGAAGGAAGCATTTGATCTCGCCTGATCTGTGTACTGCAGAACCTCAAATTTTGCCCAGCTACTCTTCTTCTGAAAAAACAGATGCTGTGGAAGTGACACGCACATAATGTAAAGGCCACAGTTGTCATACGACTTCAGAAAATTTACTGCAAAGCTTTTGTAGAAAATAGCAAAATTAGAATGCCATACCCAAGTTAGTAGACCTTGGCAAATCCTTTATAATCGAGCCAGTAACACAGGTAGAAATGGAATCTAGCAAAACACTTCGTGGCATATCATCACATCTGATGTGCCTCAGTGCCACATGCTCATGTTCTTTCTGTGTTCTTGGTTGCTGCATCTTCCTCTTCAGGCTTCTGTGCTGCTGTTATGCACGTCGAGCGCAGACCTGGTATGATAAAACAAAAAGGGAAGAGTAGAGATGGCTTTAATTAAATCAGTTATTGCACATGTTCAGGTTGTTGCTAGTGCAGCGTATACAAGGCAAGTGGAATGAATTCTTCTAATGGTTGTCTTAAACTTCAAACTTCTGTTCTTTATATGTGCTTGTACCTCATGTATCCTCTTCTTTTAAAACTCCTGTTTCTTACGAATAAATGTATGTCAGAGATTACCAGGAAGCAGGCAACTACAAAATCAGCGTACTTGCCAGCTGTGCTCCTGCTGAATTAGGTAATTCCTAACACCTTGTATGCATATACATCTGCACTTCTGTTTGGGGCTCAGTCAAAGGAAAAAGGAGGCATTTTAGAGCATCTGTCCATCTTGTATTTATTAAAAAGCATGTTTACATGGAAGCCAGTTCTTAAATTTGAATCCGGTTGTCATCCTTCTATTCTCTTAACAGGTTAAACCTTGCCCTACAGAAGACTAAATGTGCAGTTCATCTGGGAAGGAACTGAAATTACTGAATTTTGCCAACTGAAGATGCTGCTGCTGTGGAAGCTGCTGTTCCTGGTATTACTTGTTGGCTGTCTTGGAGGTAACAAAATACAATAATGCATGCAATACAAGGGTTTCAAATATTAACAGTGAATGAGTTAAAATAACTTCTGCTCCAAGGTTACTAAACAGAGCTCTGCTTTCAAAGCAAGCAGAAGATAGTTGATAACGGTAGAGATGTTATTAGAAATGCATGCACCAGAGGTATGCTAATATAATAGCTGCAGTATGTGTTTCTCTGTAACTGGAAACTTCAAATTCTTGCAGCTACGGAGGATGATTGCTTCAGCTTTTCTCAAAGCTTCGTTTATTTTAGAATAGGTTTATTCATGAGGAGCTGTGCTGTGTTATCACTGCACCAATTCAGCAGTTCAGAGGTTTGCTTTCCCACTCTGCCAGACAGCAATCCAGCTAGTTCTTAGTGCTGGGAACTGTGCTGCTTTTCAGGTCTTCTCCTTCTGCCACGGTGTCCCTTCTGAGCTGTTGTTCTATACCTTTCTGAGGTCAGTACACAGAGTAGCACCTGAAGTCCCTGACTTGTTTTGGTGTCTGCTCAGCATGTGCTCTGACCATCCCTAATGATGCTGCTGTGTGTGAGGGGGTGAGAGGAGGCCCCTAGTCTGTCCTGCCAGTGATTTTAGTGTGTGTTGGCACCATCAGAGCTGCAAAGAGCAGGCATCACTGATGGTTCCCAAATTACCAAAATGCGTGCTTCAGTAAGTCAGTGCTGTGTTGATGTTTTTTATTGCTGCAATGACAGCACTTGTCTTGAAAGAGGGAAGGAAGCCTTTTGTTGTTGTGACTCATCTCATTTGATAAAGGTCTGGGATGTTCTTGAATATGCAATGCAAACAGAAGGGAAAAAAAAAAAAAAGAGAAGTTCCCTTGTGAGGCATCTCTTTGCTTCCTAAAAGGGGGCTGGCTGAAGAACTGGAAGAAGGACTAGAGAGCAACAGTCAGTGCTGTCAGAATCTCAAGCTGACGGTCTTTTCCTCAGGGGCCTTGCTGGCAAGTGATCATGGTTTCTCCTGTTTCTGAATCAGGCTTCTGTAGAGGATGGCTCTGAAGAGTGATCTGAATTGGCTGCTTTGAAGTTAGGGGTGGTTTGAGGGAAGGGGAGGGTGATGAGTGTGCTTTAATTGCAACGAGCAACTACTGCTTGACATGTGAACTAGTTAGTAAAAAGGTTATCGTCTGGGTCTGTTGGGAGTAGGTGTGTGTGCTTTTTTATTTTTTTTGGCAGCAGCTCCAGTGCAGGGGTGGAGAAAGAGGGGCCATGTGGAGATGCCCCTTCCTGCTTTCTTCTCACGCCTGTAACCTCTGCTTGTGTTTTGGCTGCCCTCAGGGGGATTGATTTCTTGTTTGAGGTGCGTTGGAACATAACTGAGCAAGGTTTGTGGATTTGAGCTTTATGTGGGAATGCAGAGGGTCATGAATGGTTTAACAACATGGCTTCGCTGTCTTTAACATGAAAGGTACTAATATTGTCTCTGTGAAATGCAAGCACTTTTCCTTAGAAAACGTGTCCTTAAGGAAAAAAAAAAATGACTTAAATACAGTTTTTTCTTCTGCAGGGCTACTTCCTAGTTTATGGTTTGCTTTCTAAAAGAAATACTGAATGTTCTGACGTTGAGCCAATCATAAGAGATTTGCACAGAGATATTGGTTAAAATAGGGGGAGTTTGTTTTTCTCTCCTTTGAACTGCAGGAAGCAAAGCTACATTTTCATACTTCTGAGCAGATGCTGTCTTGCTGCTGCTTCCATGTTTTCCCCATGTCTGTCTGTCTGGTCCTGCTGCCATTACATATGCCAGGCAAAAGTCTGGTTCCATCTGAGCCCCTAGTCAGCCCAAAACGGCGATGGGGGAGCAGCAGGGAGCTGCAGGGGGAGACTACAGGCAGTGTACTGTGGCATTCCTCAATGCTGCTCTTGTTCTTCCTGCTCTTCTGCTTTAGCAGTTAATGCATGTGGCGGTGGTCCGGAAAGTGAGGCTGTGAACATCCTGAGTTAGCTAAAAAGTGCAGCTGTGCCAGCCAGGACTGCGCTTCCCTTTGGGCTGCACCTGGAAATATTTCAAGATGAAAATGTGTTTGTAGTCTTAAAACCACTTGAAGGATGTAAGTCCACTTTCTGCAATGCCTACTGCTATGTCTTTGGTATCATTGGGGAATTACTTGTAAAGCCAATTAGACACTGCAGCATCTGAATTGGCAAATCTTGACATTATAAATGTCAGCAAAACAAATTGTTTTTGCAGAATGTATGCATGCATTTCTGAATCTCTCATATGTAACTTTGGAAATATGCTGACTGCTCAGTACAGTTACTATTCAAAGGAGATATGTTATTAGTTAATTAGAATACAGGCTAAGCCAAAAGAAATTTTAAGTGATTAGTTGATGTAATGAAGGATACTGGGAGGATGGGGGCGGGGGGACCAACGGGTAGAATCCAAACATTAAAATTCATTAGCTATGTATGGATTTTTCTAAGTGTGCTCTCACTGGTTTTGACCTGCTGATACTGTTTTTGCTGGACTTACATTGTAGTACTTAACTAAAGTGTAGGAGTATTTTTCAGGCAATAGTAACATGCATTGGTGACTTGCATCATGTGTATCGTTTGTAGTAGAATGAATGATTTCATTATGTTCATGGTTATGTTCATGTTAAATTAGTATTAATGCTATAAAATCAAAAACATATAACAAACACAACAAACATATAACAAATAACACCAAAGCCTGTTCTTAAATCTGCTAAAATAATTTAAGTTTTTTATGTGGTACTAGTCTTCATCTTTCTTATCTTAGAACCTTATTTTTCTTTAGTTTGGGGTTTTTATTGATAAAATGTAATACTTAGCATTTGGATCATAAGTATCTGACATGCAAATAGTATAAAAAGAGAAAACGAAATCCTAATGTTTCATTCATAGACAACAGGCAGTAAAATATCCTTTAGAAGAAGGATAATCATTTTACTCTTAAAGTTGTATCTATCTTTGATTGTAAAGCTTGGAAATCTTCAGGATTGACGTGTTGAATTCATATTTATTCTTTTTAAAAATATATATATAAAAATAAATTTTAGATAATGGGTGAGGTGATGTTCAGGCACAGGAGGATATGTTGACTCTTACATAACGTAAAGTTCTCTGCTGCTGTTACTGTTTCTGTTATAGACAATAATATGGAGAAAGCTGTAGGCACCAGAAGTTGGAGTTATGCAAACAAGTCTATTGAGTATGAGCTGTAACATCTGCAGAACTACTCTGACACTCTCAAAGCTTCACTCAGATCACTTTGACCTTGGTAGCGGCTCTTGTGGAGGCATACATAACCTCCTTCGAAGAGGATGAAAGATTTTTCACCCATCTGTTGAAGGACTCTTTTGTCCTTTAATCTTTCTTATATTTTTATTTTGTGTCATCTCAGTTCTTTTCAGTCATGTTTGAAAGCAACTTAGATGAAAGGAAGTTTTGTTTTTGCTGCTTATGAAGAATGGTAGTCTTGAGGATTCAAGATGAATGCAAAAGTATCTTATGTTAAATCACGTTAACACCAGATGAACCAAGTGAGTTCTTGGAGAGGAAGAGAAGAGAGGAAAAAAACACAAAGAAATAAATGTTTAACTCTATGCAAATGTAACTGCAGAAAGGGACACACTATGAAAGTGATAATGTTAACTGCAGTCATAAATTCACATATCTCAGGTTGGCATTGAGTATCATGGAGTTGGTAAATTAATGTCAGAGCTAATAGAAAAATACCCGTTATTGAGCTAATTACTAGTATAATATTTATTTTCTGATGGCCATTGCGTTGTCTCCTGTAAGACACTGTCCTCATTCACTGTTCACCCTTCCTTTGCATCTGTTCCCGTTCATCTCTCTTCAGTTACAGTGTTCCCCAAACGTCCTCTGAGTAGCAATGCAGAGCTCATAGATTGGAGGACCGGCAAGAAGTCAAGCAAAAAAAAAGCCATTTTTCATGTTGCCAGAAGCCAGATGGTTGGATGGAGCAGGGCTGCTTAGAAGCCTTGAGCACCCATAATTGATATCCCTGACTTAATGTGGTTTTATTGCTGTCACTGACCATGCTGCTTGTAGCAACAGTCAGCACTTACGGAGACATGAGGCTGAGCCAGATGTAATTTGCTGAACAGCCTAAATTGAACAGTTCCAGCTGCCTACCTCATCTCACTCAGCTCAGCACAAGGTCTCAATCCTGATGTGCAGTTCTTTTGCTATCTGGAGACTGCACATGTTTAATTCTAACATTATCTTTTTGCTTAAATTGCTTCAATATTATGAATAGACCTTTTGGAGCAGTGTACTTCTAAAATCTACCTGAGAATCCTGTACTTGAGTCTTTTTCAAGACAAATTTTAGTGGGAGCACTCTGTAAACATGAAACAAGGCATTAAACAGTTTTGAGAATAATAATTTTAAACTAGTATCAAGACAGATTAGGAGGTATTCTGACTTTCTATAGAAACATTTTTCTCATGTTCAGTTTATGACCAAGAAGACAGTTCTAAGACTTGCCTGAAAATTAATGTTATGAAATAACATCATAGTTACAGAAATGGAGATGTGGCTGGTCTTTAAAAGTTTTGATGTTTGTCCGTGCAGATAACGTACTTCAAACTAGTTCCCTTATTGCAGTGTTCTGTATTGAGTTGCTTTTGGTTTATCCTGTGTGAATCTTCAGTTCATCAAAGTGAGGATGTGAGAGTATCTAATAGAAGGGGGAAAAAAAGGCCTTTGGGTTTTAATTTATTGATGTATATTTATATCTGTATAACTAATGATCTTGCTGTCTTTGCCTATTTACCTTAGGGAGAAAGAAGATGATTATTCAGCATTAAGTATACATGTCAAGTTTGAAACAAGTAAGGGGAACATCCGCCTAGCCAGGAAAGCAACTCCCTGCCCATTACAGGGGGGTTGAAACTAGATAATCTTCAAGGTCCCTTCCAACCTAAGTCATTCTATGAGTCTATGAAATTGAAAAGAAAAAAAAAAAAAAAGTTTAT